TCGCTTCTCTTAGTCTGCCCCAGGGCAGCTGTGGCTACAAGAGGAGCTTACCACCACTGAGTGTGGAGTGAATGAAGAAACTATGAAGCATGAATGAACTGTAAAACTCTTTGGTGTCTTGAAAAGGGTTTTATGAATAATAATTAATTACAAAAAACTGACAGTGAGCATTATAATGAAAAACAAGTTTCTGCTTCTGCACTACTTTGTCATCATGGTCAAGACCAAAAGTCCCAATTATTAGAATAATTAATTAGAAAACATGTCTCTTTGCGCAATGCCAAAGAGTTTAAAAACTAAGATCGTATTTCTGAATCTAGTCTCATATGGCGTACTCAAAACTGACAATTGCAAATGAAATAAATATATTAAAAAACATATGACACATGTTGTAGCTATATATTTTTCATCCTATTTTCTTTTAACCTCTTGATCCTCAGTTCAGTTCATGGCTAATGTAAAAACTCCACAATGCAACTTTAATTTGCCATAAAGACTCATCTCTAGGCACTTGACTTGTCTCTGACCCTGTTTCAGAGCACACTGCAAACATGGATGAGTCACAGACATGCTTCAGATGACATATGTGGACCACCGCTTCGAGTTACAAGTTCAAACTAGCATACGCACACAAACACACACAAACTCACATTCATGGCTTTTGCAAGGACACTGAGACGGTGAATTCTTAGGATTTGTGGGAGAAAATCTTCCAGGAGTGACAGCCATTTGGTGCTGATAAGGTGATTGGGAGGTTGGGTCAGCACCTCTCGGATTGAAGGTCTTCTAATCTACTATGTCCAGATGTCTTGGGCTCTGTACTCATAATTTGAAAATGTGTTTGGGTTTTTGAACACACCGGTCGCCAATGGTCTAGTAATTTACATTGATTTACAATTTACAGTTACAATGATTTTGAGAAGAAATTGATTATAGAATATGTATTTTACATTTGTTTAGCCATTAGTGTCACCTTGGGAAAAAGTTCTTCACATTTTCTAACTTAAAACAATGTCAACATACAGTAAATATGCTTTATAAACTGCACCTCTGTATCCATTGAGGCATTAAGGGATTGGAGCTCCCCCTGCTGTCAGCAACATGACGTAATAATGGCAAAGTAAACAAACTTCTAAAGTAAAGTAAACAAACTTCTAATCCCTGTGAACGCAATTTGTGAATGAGTTTGGAGATGGTTTATGGTACTGAGGATTCTCTCTTTTCTACTTAAATTGGTAGAATTTTACCTGTTGTAAACATAAATTATAGTTTTACACAAATCAAGGGGAAATTTGTGAAATGTTATCCAAAATTAAGACAGAAGAAAGGAGAAAGAAACATAATTCTTCTTTAAAATTATGTCAACAAAATAAAGGTGTTTTCTTAAGATTGTCTTTGTCAAATGTTAATTTCTGTTTACATTAGAGGAGTTTTGGCCCAGTGTACAGCATTGTTGCTAGGTATCAGTTAGGAAATTCCCTAGTGTAGTGTCATGGTTTCCAACTAAGTCAAATTTGAAACCTAAAAAAATGGCCAAACTGGGAAAAAATCTCATAAAATCTTAAACAAAATGATCTTAAAATGTTTTAGAAGCTGAATATTCTAACCTGTCATATGCACTTTAAAAACTGCATGAGAAATGTGAAGTTTTATTTCTGATGCAACAAACAAAACAGGCAAAATGCATTTTTGAGTTCACAGAGTAGACTTAATGGATTAATGGATTAATGAGTGTGATGGAAGCAAAAGTAGAACTCCAGATATGGTTTGATGAGGGTGCACCATGGTTAAAAGCTAAAAAGCTTAAACGCTACAACGCTACTTTTCCTCTTGACCAGGAGTGTCCCCAGGCTGCTTTTAGTCTTAGAGTTTTTTGTCCTGGATTTGGAAATTGATTGTCACGCGCAGTTCCATCTGAGGCCAGCAGGGCACCTTCAGGGACATGAGTCACTTTATTTCATGTCTAAACAAACAAAATCAATGTCACTGACACTGGAGCAGCCAAAGAATTATGTAACACAAAAATAAGAACTAGAGGCTGACAAAGTTGGCTTGTAAAACTACTGCTTTATTTTTATTACACAAAATCTAATTCAACTTTTTTTTTTTTTTTTTTTTTTTTTTACGGGCCCATATTTTAATATTTTCTGATCTGATAATAATGTTGTTTCCTCATCACAAACATGCCAGGAGTTGTGTTTTGTTTCATTCACACATGTTTAATCCAATCCAATCCAACTTTATTTGTATAGCACATTTTATAAACAAGACAGATTCCAAAGTGCTTAAAAAAAAAAAAAAAGTTCCAACTGAATTATTTTCCAACCAAGAGGAAACTAATAAAATAATAATAATAAAAATCAATAAATTAACAAAAATAATAAAAATCATTACATAAAAGCAGTACTAAAAATAAAATTGATAAAAACAATGCATAAAAAAAAAAGAAAAGAAAATAAATAAATAGAAGCCACAGAGGACCACACAACTCACACAGTGTTAAAAGCCAGAGAATAAAATCATTAAATGTTTAACACACAAATCCTGCATATTTAAGATGAGTTCCAGTTATTCCAGCTTGTGATAACATGTGGTAAAACAGAAAATGCTCCACTGTGTTTTTAAACTTCATACACCTTCACTAGAATCATTTAGATAATTTCAGCCCTGGAATTTCTAATCTCTACTGTACAAAAGGTAAAAGGAGCTGTTAACTTGAAAACTACTTCATCATGACATCACAAGATGGAGCAGAGCATGCTGAGCCTTGTAGATGTAGACAGACTAATAATAAAGGGTTACTCAAACATGTGTGAACTCCAGGTATGTTTTTGAGCATTATAAACCTCACAAGAGTCAATTTTGTGTAATATAAAACTTGTACCTTCTAAACCTCTCTATTGACATTGAAGTTATCACTTTTTCAACTGCTTTATACCGCGACTCTGAAGGGCGAATCAAACAGATAATGAATAGATAATCACAGCATCGTAAGCAGCAAGACCACAACAAAAATTCAATTCATCTCTGTACTCCACTCCTCTCATTAAGCCACGTAGAGGAGAAAAATACCAAAATGGCCGCCCTCCTTCATCATTACTGCCAGGTTCTGAAACACGCTCGGGTCATTACCTGAAGAATAAATTGACTTAAGAGGCATTTTATAATCAATATGGTGTTTTTTTCATGAGTTTAAGGTCAGCTTTGTTGATTGCAATGCTTTCCAAACACCCACTCTTCTCATCAGAGCGCTCCGGCTAAGTTAGAGTCAGAATACTTGATATGGCTGTAAGAAAGTGGGATCACACCTCTCCTCCGTGCTGTTACATAATGCAGTGAGTAGAGACAAAAAAATTAAAAACATAAATAAACCAAAAAAAAAAAAAGTTATCTTACTATGAGAAGTGTATTTTTGGACCTGATATCTACAGCACCAATTTACAATCATAGTACTGACAAGATTAATGTATTTTGCTTTAACTGATATTCTTTTTCTTCTCTATTTTTTATTTTATTTTGAATATTTTTTTATCTTGATACTTTTTGTGCTTTTGTTTATTGTTTTGCCAAATTTAGAAGTACCTGCCAGAGGTGGGACCATGTCGTTGTTTTGCAAGTCTCAAGTTAGGCTCAAGTCAGGCTCAAGTCTCTGACCTCAAATCCGAGTCAAGTCCCAAGTCAAATACAGGCAAGTCCGAGTCGAGTCTCAGGTCACTGGCCTAGAAGTCCAAGTCAAGTCCAAGTCGTCTGCTTTGAGCTTCAAGTCATTTCAAGTCTTTAACCAAAGTACCACATTTTGCTTGAGATTTTTACTATTTATATCATTTTTAAACTAAATTGTACTTAAAAAATCATGGTATATTTATATAGAGAGAGACAGAGTATTTACATAGTTGTAGAAAGGCTAATTTTACCTTTTTCAATGTCTTGACAAGAGAATGAATTGTTACAGTTAGAACAGAAAGAATTAAGATTTAAGAGTGCTTCATTTTGTCAAGTAGTGTAAGCATCAAGTCTTCTCAAATCACAGGAATCAAGTCCAAGTCAAGTCCCAGGTCTTTATCTATTTTATTCTCAAGTCAAGTCTCAAGTCCTAAAAATAGTGATTCAAGTTTGACTCAAGTCCAAGTCATGACTTGCAAGTCCCCACCTCTGCCTGAAATTAATTATACTGAAATTATATGTGGATAGATAATGAGCTTAAGGGTGTGATTTTTGCAGGGATGCACCGATCCAGCTTTTTTACTTCTACTTTATGACTAAAAATGCAATTTATTTTAATACCACACTGTGAAACATTCCAGACAAAGTAATGATGTATCCATGGAGAAAAACATTGAGTCCACCAGAAAAGTTACACAATGCACTAAGGCTGTGTAATGAAATGAATTTTGATCAAACTGAACAAAGTTTATTTTGGGATATTTTTGTTTACATAAAAAAGTATATTTATTTTATTTATTGATTGATTTATTATAATAGAGATTGTAGAACAACTGGATATATAGATTATTTTGGATACATTGATATTTTTTCTATACCTTATTTCATGTTCAAAGTATATTTTATTCATTTTATGTTTTATATATCGCAAGAACTGCTAGGTACATATTTGTAGCTTATATTTATTTTCAATTTGAATGTTTTGCATAAATTATCAATAAAAAGTGTTTTGTTTTTTTGTTTTGTTTTTTGAGAGAGAGAAATGATGAATAAATGCATTGTGTAACTAAAAAAAATAATCATTTGAATAATCATGATTTCAATATTGACCAAAATAATCTTGATAATGATTTTTTCCATAATCAAGCAGCCCTACAATCCACCTTTAACTACTAGACTGAAGGCTTAGCAGTTTTTATGTAGAATAAGATCAGATATTATGATGTTTGTGGAGGAAATTAATCACTTCACTTCAGTGATTGCAGCCTTTGTGATTTGCAAATTTTGATTCTGATTGCGACTAATATTACAGTCCTATTCTAACATCTGTGTTTCAGTGAAGTTCTGGAGCAAACCCGGGGCCATTAGCACTTGGACACGGTGCGAGAGTGTGTGTGCGATCACTTGGGGATTGTTTGATATTGACCTGCCCGAGCTGAAACCTGTCCTGCTGCAATCCTCCTATGTCTACAGGGCATGGAGGAGCTGATGCAACTACTCTGCTCTTATTGCTTCAAGTCCATCGATGACCACAGGTAAGTCAAGTTAGTATGATAGAGATATGTGGAAAAAGGCACACAACACATAAATAATAATAAGTTAAAGGGCCCATAATGTTGTTTCCTAATCACAAACATACCTACAGTTGTGTTTTGAGGAGGTGCCAACATTATAACATGGTGGAAAGCTCATAAGAATCAATCTGTTGTATTATACCTTTAAAGATGCACTATGTAGCTTTTCTCATGGTAAATCTGCCACTTGCTTTCATCCATAGTGATGTTATCGCTTAGTCTGGAAAGTTGCACAGTATGGCATTAAACGGTCAACATATTTATCACCATGGAGACAAAAAGCAGGCGGTGGCACAAAGTCAAGTTACAGCAGATTCAATTTGTGAAGAGGCGAGACTGCTCACCGTAAGTGCATATTGTTCACTGTTTTTGGCAACATTTATTTTCACTTAGAATATAGTTAAAAACAGCTTACTTGTGCTTTTATAAATTTATCAGCAAACTAAATTACTGCACAGATGTACTTTTAATAGTAGGATCAATTGGCGTACCTTCAGAAATGCTTTTAAAAACATTTTTATTTTCCAAATGGTCCCAGTCAGTGCTCACCAGTGCATTAACAAGTAATATAGTAAGTGGTGGTAGTTGTTGTAGTGGTAGTGGTAGTTGTAGTGGTAGTTGTGGTTGTAGTGGTAATTGTAGTGGTAGTTGTAGTGGTAGTTGTAGTTGTAGTGGTAGTGGTAGTTGTAGTGGTAGTTGTAGTTGTAGTGGTAGTTGTAGTGGTAGTTGTAGTGGTAGTTGTAGTTGTTGTAGTAGTTGTAGTGGTAGTTGTGGTTGTAGTGGTAGTTGTAGTGGTAGTGGTAGTGGTAGTTGTAGTTGTAGTGGTAGTTGTAGTGGTAGTGGTAGTGGTAGTTGTAGTGGTAGTGGTAGTTGTAGTGGTCGTGGTAGTTGTAGTGGTCGTGGTAGTTGTAGTGTAGTGGTAGTAGTGGTAGTTGTAGTGGTAGTGGTAGTTGGTAGTGTAGTGGTAGTTGTAGTGGTAGTTGTAGTGGTAGTTGTAGTGGTAGTTGTAGTGGTAGTGGTAGTGGTAGTAGTGTAGTGGTAGTGGTAGTGGTAGTTGTAGTGGTAGTGGTAGTTGTAGTGGTCGTGGTAGTTGTAGTGGTAGTGGTAGTAGTTGTAGTGGTAGTGGTAGTTGTAGTGGTAGTAGTAGTAGTTGTAGTGGTAGTGGTAGTTGTAGTGGTAGTTGTAGTGGTAGTGGTAGTTGTAGTGGTAGTTGGTAGTAGTAGTTGTAGTGGTAGTGGTAGTTGGTAGTGGTAGTGGTAGTTGTAGTGGTAGTGGTAGTTGTAGTGGTAGTGGTAGTAGTTGTAGTGGTAGTGGTAGTTGTAGTGGTAGTGGTAGTTGTAGTGGTAGTGGTAGTGGTAGTTGTAGTGGTAGTGTTGTAGTAGTGTAGTTGTAGTGGTAGTGGTAGTTGTAGTGGTAGTTGTAGTGGTAGTTGTAGTGGTAGTTGTAGTGGTAGTGGTAGTTGTAGTGGTAGTGGTAGTGTAGTAGTGGTAGTTGTAGTGTAGTGGTAGTGGTTGTAGTGTAGTTGTAGTGTAGTGGTAGTGGTAGTTGTAGTGGTAGTTGTAGTGGTCGTGGTAGTTTGTAGTGGTAGTGGTAGTTGTAGTGGTAGTGGTAGTTGTAGTGGTAGTGTTGTAGTGGTAGTTGTAGTGGTAGTTGTAGTGTTAGTGGTAGGTAGTTGTAGTGGTAGTTGTAGTGGTAGTTGTAGTGGTAGTGGTAGTGGTAGTGTAGTAGTGTGTAGTGGTAGTGTAGTGGTGTTGTAGTGGTGTGTAGTTGTAGTGGTAGTTGTAGTGGTAGTTGTAGTGTGGTAGTTTGGTAGTGGTAGTTGTAGTGTGTGGTAGTGGTAGTGTGTAGTTGGTGGTAGTTGTAGTGGTAGTGGTAGTTGTAGCGGTTGTAGTGGTAGTGGTAGTTGTAGTGGTAGTTGTAGTGGTCGTGGTAGTTGTAGTGGTAGTTGTAGTGGTAGTTGTAGTGGTCGTGGTAGTTTGTAGTGGTAGTTGTAGTGGTAGTTGTAGTTTTAGTGGTAGTTGTAGTGGTCGTGGTAGTTGTAGTGGTAGTTGTAGTGGTCATGGTCGTAGTAGTTGTAGTGGTAGAGGTAGTTGTGTTGTAGCGGTAATTGCAGTGGTAGTTGTAGTGGTCGTGGTAGTTGTGGTAGTTGTTGTGGTCATGGTCGTAGTAGTTGTAGTGGTAGTGGTAGTTGTAGTGGTCGTGGTAGTTGTAGTGGTCATGGTCGTAGTAGTTGTAGTGGTAGAGGTAGTTGTAGTGGTAGTTGTAGTGGTCGTGGTAGTTGTGGTAGTTGTTGTGGTCATGGTCATAGTAGTTGTAGTGGTAGAGGTGTAGTGGTGGTAGTAGTGTATGGTCGTAGTAGTTGTAGTGGTAGAGGTAGTTGTAGTGGTAGTTGTAGTGGTTGTGGTAGTTGTAATGATATTTGCAGTGATAGTGGTTGTGGTAGTTGTAGCGGTCATGGTCGTAGTAGATGTACTAGTAGTGGTAATGGTAATTGTAGTGGTCATGGTAGTGGTAGTGGTCGTGGTCATTGTTGTGGTAGTTGTCGGCGGCGGCGTGGTCGTTGTTGTCGTAGTTGTTGTCATAGTCAGCGGTGGCGTGGTGGTGGTCATTGTCGTCGTGTTTGTGGTTGTGGTAGTTGTAGTAGTATTTGTAGTACTAGTGGTAGTAATAGTTGTAGGGGTAGTAATCAAAATCAAAGTCAAAATTTTGGAATACCTTTTTAAACGTGTACATTTTTATTTTTCCATTGGTCCCAGTGAGTGCTCACAAGTGCTTCAACAAGTACTACGTATAGTAAAAATATATAGCAGTGCTGTTGTAGTCAAAGTAAATTCGTATTCAGTACATTAAACCTAAAAAATTCATTGATCTATTTAAGACATGCTTGAAATCATCCGACTATAAGAGATCACAAGACCCTATCCTCTTAGCGTCAATCAGTATGCTAATGGCTGCACACTGAAGGAAGGCATACACTGCAAAAAGAAATATCTGGGTTAAGTTAAAATGACTTAAATTAAGAACATTTTACTTTATTTGAGTAGATTCAGCTTGACAAGTGAAACGATCTACTAATGGAATAAGCGTGGATTTCTTAATTTAAGCAGTATATAGTAGTATTAAGTGCAAAGAGTTGTGTTTTTCTTATTTTAAATGTGCATTATGTAACTTTTTGTTTGGGGCTTTCTTTGGATAGGTCATTGCTCTGTCTTGAATGTTCCATAATATGACATTAAATAGCTCAATTTTACTTTTTTTTTTTCAATTAGGTGGTTTTACTGCTCAGAAATACCTAAAAAAAATAGGCTTTCTGAGTGTGAGCAGGGTCATCTCTCCACAGATCTGACCTGTAAGTGGGTCTCCATGAAGACAGAATACTGTGAAACTTTCCAGACAAAGCAATAACGTCTCCATGGAGAAAAGCATTTGACGGACTCTCCACCAAAAAAAGTTATACAATGGACTTTTAAGTTTATAGCAAGAGGTATTTTGGTATTTTAATTCAATTTTGTAAGTGAAATTGACTCAAATCATAACAAAACTTTCTTAATTCACTTCATTTTAACTCCTGCGAAGTTGTGCTGAAGCAACACCAGACCAAAACCAGCTGAAAGGCAAAATAAAACCCCTCTACTTCTTTGTAATAGTTTGAGAGAATAAATAGTTTCCTTTGACAATAGTCCACGTGCGCATATTCCTCACGGTGAAAGCTCTGGCACAGAACAGCAGAGGCAGCGGCCAGACTCAATTTCATTTCGCAGAGTTGATCAATGAGCACAGCTTTTACTTTTGGATTCTGTAGTGAAAATGTTGTAAACACATCCAGACTCATCAAAAGCGCTGTTATGGGTAATTTCGTCAAAGAACGGGGTCATGTAAGCTGTGTTTGATTGTATGTAGCTCGGGGTAGCTCAGGGCAGACGAGCTAGAGTGCAGTGGGTTGTTTCTGAGAGGACGTTTGGTGTAAATCTTATACCAGCTCCAAAAAAGTGCAACCAAATATTGATTCATTACATTATCACTGTGTTTAAAGAGCTGATTGTATACTTTTTAGTCATGTAATAAAGTTAAATTAGTTTTCCCTCTTTCCACTTAGTGATGTCATGTGGTAATACAAGAAGTGCTCCAATATGTTTTTAAACTCCATGTGTGTTCACTAGAATCATTTGGATAATTTCAGCCCTAGAATTGTCAAACTACGGAACAAAAGGTAAGCTGTTAAGTTGAAAACTACCGCTTCGTGACATCACAAGGTGGGACAGAGCATTTTGAGCTTTGGAGATGTAGAAAAGCTAATAATAAAAGATTACAAAACACAACACAAAAGGTACAGTATGTTTCGATGAGTTAACAACATTATAACATGGCTTAAAGATCAAAAAAGAAATTCTCAGGGTCATGACCGCTGTTAGTTGTATTAATCTAATTATAAAGTGTTTTTATTGTCCGCGAACCAGGAAGTAACACTGCTATTTTGCTAGTTGTTGTTAGTATAACCAAGCAAACTCCTGCTCCTACTCTGGCTGCTGAAAGTTGTAAAAAGAGCTTATAAATATAAATTCCGTGTGATGAATAATTAGAATGTGAGGAATATGTTAGGAAAGTTAGTATTAGTGTTCGTTACAAAGTTTTTCTGTCTTGTAATTCTGTTCTTTTTTTTTTAAGAATTGGCCTCTTGGTATTATTTTCCTGCAAAGAGGTTGTGGGTTGAATTCCTCTTCATTTTATTATGTTCTGAGTGGAGTGAGCATGTAGTGCCTTGTTAGTCATACCGCTGTCTCAGACCTAACAGATGTAGAGTAAACCAATGAGGCAAACATCAGATGTGGTCTGTGTACTTTGCTATGGATGGAAAACAGCTGGTCAATTAGACTACCTTTTTTCTGGTTTGAAATCCATAAAATCCAGTTATGAACATGGCAAAAACTGGATGTTAGAGATAGTCAATGTTTGCTCCATTA